ACTTAATTGAAGAAGATTATAGTTTAAGCAAAGAATACAATGACAAATGTATAATTGCTTCTAGTCAAATTAAGCAGTTTATAGAAGCGGTTACCACAGTACCACCAGCGCGGAATCACCAAAGTTCTGATTTAAACCAGTCTAGTGGTAATGGAATTTTGCATGTAAGTTCTAGTTCTAGTGGGAACAGTACCCTGAAATTGCCAAAACTAATGATTGATAAATTTTTTGGAGACCCCAAACAATGGAATGAATTTCGGAATAGTTTTAAAAATAAAAATGAAACGCTCTCAAAAATACAAAAATTTGCATACTTAAAAACATTCTTAATGGGACAAGTTTCGAATGTTGCTTCAGGCTTTGAATTAACAGAAAGTAATTATGATAATTGTGTAGCATCACTAAAGGACAGATATGGTCGAAAAGACCTGATCATTAATTCATTCATGAATGAAATTCTCAATTTAGAAGCTGTTAAAAATTCTGCTAACACGTAAAGGCTGTACGTAAATTGTATGACGAAGTAGGAGTTTCGATTTGTAATTTGGAAGCTAGGTAACTTCTGGATCATATGGACATTTACTAATTCCAATATTATTAAAATTAATTCCAGACGATTTAGTTTAGAAATTTAATCGGCAAACAGGATCGAAAGATAAAAGTTGGAGTTTCGAAATTAACACAATTTATTAAAATGGAAATAGAATGCAGGGAAGTTTCAAATCTAGTATTAAATGAAAGGAAAAATTCTGTGCCTCCACGAGTTGATCAATCAAAATATGAAACTATAAAATATGTAAAAAATACACCACACCAACGGCTGCATTTCATACTGAAGTTAACCTGAAAATGCATCTTCTGTGGATAATTTGCACGAGTCATTTAAATATGTGAAGTGAATGTTTCTGATAAATTAAAGAAACTAAGATCCAAAACCGCTGCTATTCTTGTTTTAAAAAATTTCATACATCAAAAAAAGTGTAGAAATAAAACTAAATGTAATAAATGTGGCGGTATGTATCACAATGAATCGATTTGTACTAATAAATTCTCCTGTAAACAAAAAGTCTTAACGAAGGTTATTCCGAAAATGAAACTGAATCTCTGACTTTGAATTCTGAGGAAAGAAACAAAGTTCAAAACTTAAATTTGCTTGCTTCTCCTCAAGGTGATGATAATAATAATGACTAATAATGACTGTAATGCCAGGGAAATATTATTACAAATTTGTACAGTTTATGCTTGTTCTAAATATAAATCAAAATTAACTAGATTAATTCTTGATAAAGGCAGTCACAGACCCTTTATAACGAAAAAATTGGTCGACTATTTAAAACTTACTCCAATCCGTTAGGAAAGACTTTCCATTTATTCATTTGGTGCACCAAGGCAATGAATCATTCCTATCCGATCGTTAAAATTGAAATTCAGAATTGGAAACAAAATGATAAAATAAAAATTGAATATTTAGGCATGATTTGGAATTTCATTGAGGACAATATAAAGTTAAACTTAAAAAATTTAATTGACTTTTCTACCAAAAATGATTTTGCTACAAAAAGGAAACTTTATCAAATTTTTTGCAAAGTATCGCCAAATATACGATCTATTTGGATTTATTGTGCCCTTTGTTATTCAGGCAAAAATTATTATGCAAGAAATCTGGTGTTCCGGTGCTGACTGGAATGAGGTCCTTCCTGTGGAGATTAAGGACAAATTCAACATTTGGCGGGAGGAACTTGGTGATTTACTGAAATATTGATACAGCGAAATTTCTTTGATGACGATCCAATGAATATAAGCCTTCACCTATTTTCAGACGCTAGGCTAGCATATGGCACCATCGCATATTTTAGATACTGTACGAGTGATACAGAAATTAAAACTTCCTTTATCATGTTGAAATGCAGGGTTGCACCTTTAAGATCAATCATGCTTCCTTGTTTAGAGTTAATGGGAGCACTCGTGGCTGCTCGAATGTATAAATATTTAAAAAAAAATGTTTGGTGATTTAATTGAGGAAGTTTATCTTTGGAGCGATTCTAAAATCACCATTACTTGGATTAAAGGTTTGCTAAATAATTGGAAACCATTTATCGCCAATCGTGTTACGGAAATACAGGGTATATGCAACAAAAAATTGTGAACTAGAGCGAAGAGAAACAAAATCCTTCAGATTTACTGACTCAAGAAATTAGTGCTCAGTCACTAGTTAAGAATGATCTGTGGTGGCATGAGCCACACTGGTTATGTTTTCCTACTGAAAACTTTCCGAAACAAAAGAAATTACAACCAAATTCAGAATCGTTAGAGTTAAGAAAAAGTATTATTTTGAATGCACCTGTAATTGACAATGAATCCCCAATTTTGCATATAGAAAAATTCAGTTCTTTAGGAAAATTACTCCGAATTACTGCCTATGTATTAAGATTTATTGGGAGGCTTCTGAAAAGGTCTACAGAGAATGACCTTTAAGTGCTTTTGAGATGAAGCAGCTGAGCTTTATCAAGGGTAAAAATTACGCAACGAGAATCGTATCAAGTGGAAATAATTAAGTTATCAAATAAAAAATTACCAATTCTCGATTCTTCCATCTACTCCCTTAATCCAAGGCTTGATGAGGAGGGAATTCTTTGGTTGAAAGGTCGCATTCAATTTGCAGACTGTCACGAGAATTTAAAACACCCTATTCTATTACCCTCTAAATACAAGTTCACCGAGTTGATCATCATGGACTCACATGAAAGGGTATTCCATGCTGGAGTTAATTTGACACTAACTCAGATCAGAGCCAAATATTGGATCATTAAAGAAAGGCAACATGTTAAGACTATCACCACAAAATGTGTGATATGCAGATGATATAGAGCTCGTCCTGGAGTAAAGGATATTGCTCCACTTCCTCCAGACAGAATCCAAGAATCGCCTCCATTTGCTTTGACCGGGTAGGATTTCACCGGTCCATTTTTTATGAAAGACAGGCAAGGTAAAGTTTACATGCTGTTATTAACGTGTGTGGTCACTTGTGCCTTACATATAGAGATATTAACTGATCTCAGCACTGAAAGTTTTTTACTAGCTTCCCGAAGATTTTTAGCCTGCCGAGGACTATGTACCACCATACATAGTCCTCGGCAAGCTAAAAATAGATAATGCCCAGACTTTTAAAAGAGCTGACAAAGAATTAAAACATATTTTCAAAACTTTGAGTGAGTCATCTGTGAAAGAATTATTTTCTGTTAGAGGCATAAATTGGAAATTTATCATTGAGAGGGGTCCATGGTGGGGAGGGTTTTGGGAGCATATGGTACGAACCATAAAATCCAGTTTACCAAAAATTATTGGTCAATCATCCCTAACTGTGAAAGAGCTTGAAACAGTGCTCATTGAAATCGAGGCAATGATTAATTGTAGACCAATTACCTATGCATTTAGCGATCCTAATGAACCTTCTCCACTAACGCCCTCTCATTTTCTGCTTGGTAGACGATTACTATCTCTGCCTTCTAATAAAATAACATTGAATAATTTGATTGGACCAAGAAATTTAATTATTAAATGATATAAATATCGTCAAGATATTTTAAATAATTTTTGGAAGCATTGGACAACGGAGTATCTTTTTTATTCTGAGATCTGCCAATATTTGTGCTCCACACTCGATCGCATCTCAGTTTAAAATCAATGATATTGTCTTGATTCATGACGATAAACATCCCAAAAATCTCTGGACAATAGTTAAAATTTTGGAATTAATGCCAGGCAGATCTGGTAAAATAAGATTTTGCATAATTAAAACACCTACTGGTACCTTAAATAGGCCTATACAATTGTTATATAATATGGAACTTAACTAATGTTTGTATTTTTAGGTTTGATTCTCTTGACTTCTTATAGGTATCATTTAATGTTTTGTAAAATTTATGTGCTTATAATTATGTTTGCATGTTTGTTATATTTAACCATTTCTCTAGGATTGATTGTCAAAATATTAATTGAATATTCTAGAATATATTATTGAAAGATGAACTCTGCACTGAGTTCAGGTGGGGAGAATTGAATAATTTGAAAGAAGAAAAGGCTAGAGGGCGCTGTTGCTCACATTGTTGTATGAGAATAAAGTTTTTGTTTATGTTGAAGGCGGCGGCCTAAAAATACACTCTGTACACATAGTGAATTAAAATATTGTTAAAAAGGTTAAAATTAGTAAACCAACATCTGATTTAGAAACGTAAATTATTAAACTGGCTAGAGAATTGCACCGAGGCCACTAACAATGATTGAGAATGTCCATGACGAGAGTTCTCGATACTGCAGTAGCAAAACTTGAGGGGAAATTATGTTTGTCTAAAAAAAAATGAAGATATATATATAAAAAAAAGGGGGGGGGTGAAGAAACAGCTTACATAGAAAGAAATAATTTATAAGAGAGATAAATATTAAGATTTTTCTGTAAATTTTGAGGTTTTAGCCATTTATTTTATAAACAACTATTTTGTGTTTGTAATGTTATAATTTCTATGTTAACTTATTGAATTTAAACAGATATTCTAAAACCTGGATAATTCTGATATCGGAAGTTGCTGAAGTCCTGACGATTCTGGATCTTGATCTTTATACTGTATTACTGTTATAAACAGCATTTATGTATTATTAATCCTAACCTACTATTGAATTTTAATTCCCTTCCAAATCTGTAATCAAATCTTAAAAAACTAAGCTATTTATTTCTTCCTTCTTCACACAAATACTATTTACAGGTAATAATAAATAAGACCACCTTTTTAATGAAAATATTACAGGAATTTATTTTCCTTAAAGATAAAATGTATAAAAAGTAGATATATATCAAAAGATTTCTTTCTTCCTTTTTTAAATAAATTAATCTATTAATTTTTATAAATCAACAGATTTTTTTTTATTTTTTATTCTAAAGAAAAAACAATCATGTTCACTTTGAAAGATATAAAATTCACAATTAGGGAATTAAAATATCTTACCAACTTCTGCACAATATGCTGCATACTTTTCATGATAATACGGTGGTGGTGTCATTAATACAATCTTCTTTTTACATAATCCTATAAGCTAAAAGATTATTCAAAATTATCTATATTATACAAAAAATTAGGGCAAGTACCCCTGAAGGTACTGAAGCTTTTCTTCCATGGATATTAGCAACCTTAACCTCAAGAGTTAAGTTTTTAACTGACAAAAATTGGCCTTTCATGTTTTGCTTCTAAGAATTTGATTTTAACAAGCATCCAAAAGATCACAAAAAGTTAATATATTCTGCATGTAACAATCTGAATACATAAATACATGATATTAATTATTACATAAAGAACAACTTTTATACAAATTGTAAGACCTGTAATTGTAATACTAGTTAGTAAGCTTGAATTCTTAATACTGATTCCAATTAATTTTTAAATGTACATAAAATGCTAGCAATTTGCAATTTTTTTTATAGCATGAAAAATAATTCAAAACTGTTACAATTCGATACGGAAGTGACTTTTGAACAGAGGACAATTACAGCTGAAAATAAAGTAAAACTTACAATCCAAAACACTTTTTGAAAATTAAATGTTTGAATGATAAGATTACTTTACTGAGTCATAAGATTTGCAGTCACTTGGTATATTTTATTTTTAAAGTTAGGTTAAACAAGCAATCTTAGTCTGGCAGTGATTTTAAATACAATTTTATTAATTTTGAAGATTATCAGGCCCTTTTCTTCAGGAGAAGAAAAAATTTGCCTATAAGAGGTACCTCTTGAAGTTGCTAATTTTATTCAAAATCTATTTCAAACTGAGGCTGCTCTTCTGCCTAATTTTTAAGTTTTATATAAGCTTGTTCCTATTCTACCTAGATATATCACTTGCTACTTTAAACAGGTTTTCTTCTTTTCTTTATTGGCTTATTTAAATGAATACACAGCTATGAAAACACAGTAAAGTAAATAATTACAGAAAAACCTGATGCTATTTAAACTCAGCTTTTCATAAGTGATCCAAAGAAGGCACTGCACAGAGGGTTAATGTATTTATTTTTTACAAAGTAAAATAAGTCTTTAAATCTAATTTTGCAGTAATCAAATACTTCAATTATAACTTTATTAGAATTTTTAAAAGGTGTTTATTCTTAACATGCATATTTTAAAATGTACTGTTTTTCTTCCAAAGAGCAATATACACTCCTATTCAAATTGATCTTTGCATAACCAAACGTAATGATATTTCATAAATATCCAATCAGTGTAATCCATTTTTCCAGAGAACGTGTGAAAGATAAGTCTAATTATTATCCAATCAAAAGTGATCAAATGATTTCTAATATGCAAATCAAGGCATTACATCATCTGATAGTGAATCAAGCACTTTGTGCACAGTGAATATCTGCAATACAGCATTTAATTTTAGTGTTTAAGGATTTAAAAGAGTTCATTACAGTTTTGAAGTATCATTTGGAAGAATCTGTGAAGTGGGGAATCATTGGCTGTTTACAAGTGAGGAAGAAAATCATGGAAGCAGTGAGATATGCGAATATTTCAAGATAGAGGCTCTACGATATGGAAACAATTTTAAAATTCTTGAACTGTTGCGAGGGGGCTTGAATAAGGTCCTAAATGAATAACAACTGCTTCTTAAGTTTGATATCTGGCAATAATTAACCACTGTAAGAGGAAGTCATTGTTTGGGAGTTAAGTTCAGAGCTTGGCAGCTACCACAGGAACTACTGTGTCATGGCAAATTGGATACAGAAGGTTTAATGAAAAACATATTTATGCCAGAAAGCTAAGAGATATATGTTCCATTGTCTTAACAACAAAAGAGAGCTCGCTTTAATTGGTAAAAAGAACATCAGAACTAGAGTGAATATCAATACTCCCATGTTATTTTACTGATGAGTCGAGGTTTAGTTTAACATCTAATTCTGAATGTCACGAAAATTCTGAATATCTGGTCAGGAATGTGAAATCTTCCTTTAAACATTGGGACCTGTGTGGGAAAGAAATAATGATTTATTGACATTTGTCCCAATACGTTTTTAACAGTGGATCTGTGACTGGCCAGAAATGCTGGAATGAAGGTCTTGGAACCTTATTTAGGACATTTCAGAAGTGCATACAAATCTGACATTTTATATATGGACAATAAAGCTTATTTATCTCGAGCAAACTTTGTTAATGAATTCCCTGAAAGTGAAGACATTTCAGCAAATACCATGGCCAGCAAAATCTGATCTTAACTCAGTAGAGAACCTTAGAAAAGCAGTTGCATGGTGACATCTTCCTCCTAGAGACTGCTCTGAAGACTGCACTGCTGGAAGAGTGAAACTTAGTTTCACAAATTGTGATTAAAAACATTATCTGGTTCAGAAAGTCTGATTTCTAGACATAAGATGTCTAATTGAGAAATGAAATTGAAGAGCTAATTTTCCTCACTCAACTTTGTTTGAAACAAACACAAATTAGTTTTACAAAATAAGTACTACAAGCAAACTGAGAGATTAGCCATGGGAAGCCCTCACAGTCCCATCCTGTCTGACATCTACATGCATATTATGAATCAAAACTATTTGAAACTTCCCGGTATAATATCGCTATGTAGACGATACTTTTACTGTTTGATGGTAATAAAGATGATTTATTAAATAAAGTTCTTTGAACAATGAATTCAGTTCTATTCTGTTCACTTTTGAACTTGAGAAGTGCAATTCTCTTCCGTTCCTCGACATTTTGGTCACATGTAGCACATCCAACTTCAGTACTGCGGTTTATCGTAAACCTTCATCAGTTTGCATTCCACCACACTTCAAATCATGTCATCTGACTGAACAAAAGTTAGCTTTATTTTATTACTATGTTCTCCATGCACTTTAAGTTTGCTCCTCCAAATTGGCTCTTGATCAAGAACTAAATTATTTAAAAGCAGTAGCTATTAGCAGGGGCTTTTCACCCAACATTATTAAGTAAAAAATTTTCATTATTATTAAGTAAAAAATTTTCATCTCAACACACCAAAAGGCACACTCTTGTTTTAGATTATATGACTTCTGTTGTCATTCCTTTCTTTCCATCAATTAGCTATAAAATTGCATGTATTTTACAGAAATTTAACTTTTGGATTGTTTATTTTCCTATCAATAAAATTTGAAGTTCCATACTCAAGAACCCCGGGGTATTTACCAGTGTAGCTTAATTTACATTGTTAAACTAAGAGAGCCTTAATATTTTGTGTTAAGGAACATGAGGCATGTGTTACAAAAAAGGAGATGCAGAAGTCCTGTATTGCCAAGCATTGTTGGTCCAAAAACCACACTTTCAATTTTTCTGCAGCTAAAATTATTCAAAAAACATCTTCCATTGGCGAATTAAATTTTCCAGAGGCATAAAAAAAATCTTTCTGTTCTAGTTAACAACTCTAATTCCAATCCATCTTTGCCTTCAGCCCTTAAGAAAATTATGTTTTAGTTCTCGTTTCATCAATAGATGGTGCCAGTAGCTTAACTCCTGTCCAGGCATTCTTATCTTATCACATTCATTTGCACTTTGGCAGCTGAGGATGATGGTTCGGTAAAACCATCCAAACTAGTTCTGTGAAAATTTGCAAATATAATGCTGATTTTTGTTGTTTGATTTCTAAATTAACATCTGTTTGTTCTGTACGTGATGACAGAAGATGTAAGGAACAGAGAAAAATATTATTTGTCTTCTTCAATGTGGAAATGAACATGTTTCATCATAAACGTATTGCAAATGAAGAAATTGTGCAGTTTTTACACAAATTAGACAAAAATGATTCTGAAGAAGAAATATTCAAGAAGGATGAAGATCTTGTTTCATAGATATTTAAAACATTTGATAGCAATTCTGGAATTCACGGGGGAAAAAAAAAAAAAAAAAAAAAAAACAAGCTTTACTTTTGCTATAAAAGGTTATAAGGTATTTTTCTCGCCTTCTTAGCATGCATTCGCGGTGTAGTGGTCAGCACCCTTGACGGCTATTCGAGAGGTCCATGGTTCGAGTCCCGGCGAGAGCATTGCTAATTTTCCCCCATCTTCTGCATTAAAAAAATACCTAATGTCTCTACAGTGCAACCTAAACAAAACAAAACAAAAAAAAAAAAAAAAAAAAAAAAGGGGGGGGGGCGGGCGGTGGATGATGATTCTCCACCAACAGAATTTAGCGACTGGGTTCCCTAACCCTCAGTCGCCCCTTTAAAAGGAGGGTGTATATAAGATATTTCTCCTGTCTTCGTGGTGAGGGGGTCAGCACACTCTACGCCTATTCGAGAGGTCTGTGGTTCGAGTCCTGGCGAGGGCATTGCTATTTTTCACGTCTCTTGCTTCGAAATAACCTAAAGTCTCTACAAGGTGCCTCAGCCTAAACACGGAAACATATCTACAAAGACTAAATGAAAGAGAAAGACAACTAAAATGAATTTGACATCACAGAACACTTGATGCCACACTTTTTAAGAATGAGTAAGTTGCAAGAAATGGCACCATACAAACATATACACCTGCCAATAGCTAACACATACGTTTTCAAGACTGGAATCTGGTGAAGTAATGCCATATTCAAAGAGAGATAAGAAAACAGCAACAGTTATTTAGAGATGAACTAAAAAGAAGAATTATAAAAGAATGTACTGAAACAGGTAGCTTCAAAATAACTATTAATTAGTGCCACTATATTTGCTTGATGTCTTTATAGCTTTTCTAGCATACACTGGATGAGCTCATTGTGCAAAAGGGATCTCAGTCAATAATTTATGGAATAATGAGTAAGGACCCTTTTTTTTTTTTCCTTTTTGAAAATATTTAATACAGTGCGATATATTCAAAGAACTAATAATGGTTATGAGATTGACAAAACACCAGCAAGATCTCATTGATATTATATCAGTACAAGAATTCTACTGATGTTACAAACGACGCCAATAAAGTTACTTGAAAATATAATATTTTATAACCAGTGGTGGATAGGGCCAGTGGGCAACTGTCCGGTGGGCCGGAGCGATTTCGGGCTGATCTAATTGACATAGATGACTCAAGGAGACAGCCCTATGCATGAGGGA